CCCACTATTCTTCTTCACTGATAAAGTCTTGCCATGCTTTGTGTACTCGGTCATAAAGACTGTTGTTCTTAAAACACCCAACAACTGGGCCATTAAGTTCTTCAGACACTCCTGCTAAACAGGATCCCATGAAGTCCGACATGTCACCCATTTCACGCACAGCATATACTAGACACTGCTGAACAACTAGTACTACACTGATTTACAAACTAGAAAATATAGACAACAAAAAGATTAATCACAATGTTTGCTTTTTCACTGTAGCCTACACAAATTATATTAACCCCTAAAATAGAGGGTGTTCACATTATTTTGTCCAACCCCTGTATAACTATAGTTTTAATAATAGTTCTACTTCTATGAGAATTACAACTACAATGCTAATGACACAGATTAACAGTAATGTTAGAATCACTCTGAGAATGCAAATGAATAATAAAACATTGACAGTTGATCAGAATCTAAAGAGCTCGAACATTTAAAGCAGCAGAATACACAACTCTGCATGCCTTATAATAAACTGAACATTATCATCTGTTGATGTGGATGCTAATATAGTTATTTTTCTAGTTATTGTTCTTAGTGTAAAGTGGCCTTAAAACAAATATAATATCTCCCTTGACTCACATTTGTGTGCTTCATTTGTTGCTGGTTGTGTTGAAGTAGCCCCAGCTGGCAGCATTTTGTCCAGTCATGACACATTTGTCAAGGCTACACAGCATGGAAACCACATAGTCTTGGATGGTGCCTGCATCACTGAAACCTGACAGGAACTCCGGCCTGATTCAGTGACGTATCATAAAGAAAACCACAAATTCAGTGCAGAAAAATTGAATTTTTTTCTTAAATAATTTAGTCTGAAATCTTGAGTGGAATTCTACCTGTGTTTCATGTACCAGAAGATGGTGGCACAACCAAAGCCAGTGGCCACGCTCAGGTGGGAATCTGGTTTGGGTAAGGAAAACAGGAAGTCAGCACTGCAGCGCCCATCCTGCCAGGTGATCAGCTGACTGACGTCTTTAGGAATTAATCTAATGATTTCATCTTCACTCAGCCATTCACAGCCTAACAGAGAGATGGATGAGAGTATAATTATTGATACCATCCCAATTATTTATTCATGATTAAAGATGAGTGCCTTCACCACAGTGCCACACCACAATGCAAGAAGCATCAAACATGCTTTCAGTAGTTGTT